TCCCCTCCCCCTACCACTCTCTTCCACCCCGTATCACCCCGTATCACCTCTACCACCTCTTCTACTCCTTCCACCCTTCCACCTCTTACCCTCTACCCCCTCTACCACCACCACCGCCTCTACCGCCCCGCAGCTCTCTCTACTACTTTCACTCTTCACCTCTACTCTCTCTTTACCACCTCTACTCTCTCTATCATTATCACTGCCTCTATCACCCCGCAATCTCTCTCTATCACTTTCACTCTCTATCTTCACCTTCTTATCACTTCTTTCACCTCAACCTTCTCTATCATTATTATTATCTCTATCACTCTGTAACTGTCTCTATCACTTTCACTCTCTATCTCTACTCACTTTTACTACTTCTTTTATCTCTTTCACTCTCTACTCTCTCTATTATCATTATCATCTCTACTTCTTCTACTACTCTCTTTCACTCTGTATTACTTCTATCATCATTATTAGATTAATTAGAGCTGTGTAAACTGTAGAGTCAGTTATTCAATCTCATTCATAAATTCAAAGAGATATATATAACATCACATAAGATTTTATTACAGAGTATTTAACAGTATATACTATAAAGACAGAGATTAAAATGCGATAGAGATAGTAAGAGAGAAGTAGAGATAGTAAAAGTAATAGAAGAGACTGTAGAGCAGTAGAGATAGTAATAATAATAGAGATAGTAGAGATAGTAAAGATAATAAGAGAGAAGTAGAAGTGAAAAAAGTAATAAAGATAATAGAGATAATAAAAGAGTAAGTAATAAAATAAGAGTAGAGTAGAGATATAAAGTAGAAGTAATAGAGAGAGCTGCAGAGTAGTAGAAATAATAGTAGTAATAAAGAGAGTAGAGATAATAGAGATGATAAAAGAGAGATAGAAGTGAAAGAAGTGATAAAAATAATAAAGATAATAAAAGAGTAAGTGATAAGATAAAGATACAGATATAAAGTAGAAGTAATAAAGAGTACTACAGAGTATTAGAGACAGTGATAATAATAGAGAGAGTAGTAGAAATAATAATAGAAGTAATTACTAGAATAATATCACTGAGTAGATATTATGTCACGCTTCCGGCCGTGTCAAGGCCTCATTGCGGTTTTACATGAGTTATTGCTTTCATGCAGATAATTTCATTCTGTCTGAATCAGTTTTCAATCACTCTATAATATCATTCAGATATATTATAGAAAGATCTGATTAATAAATATAAGAATCTCACTTCTATACAAGATCAGCAGATTACTCTTTCTTAGTAATAAGATATTACTGAGATATTACTTCAGCTAATCTTACTTATGAAATAAGAGAAGAGTATTCACTTATTATCTATATAAAATAACTAGATACTGACATCTTATTAAAGAAGTCAGTGATTCATCTTTTTTCTATAAGAATATATATAAGAGTTACTATATTTCTCATACAATCTTCTTAGTATACTAAGTATTATATCTGTGATATTCTTATAATAACTCTGTAGCTCATGAGCTTACTATTTAAGTAAAATAGTTAAGCTTACTTATATAGCTTTTTAAATAACTATCTTTATATAACACTACTGACTAGTTATTACTTCAGTTTTATTATATTATAATTTAAATCACTTAATCTGATTATAAGTTTAAATTAGTCAAGCTCTAATAAACTGATATAATTTTATACACTTATACTAAGACTGATCTGATCTCACTCTCTGAGAGAAACTCTATATTATTTTTTAGAGTATATATATTTCTACTCTGACAGAAATCTGAGATTTCTGAATCTACTATATACTTTAATATGAGTTCTTTAACTACTCTATTACTACTACAGTCTCTACACATCTATATCTATTATAAAGATAGATAGATTAAGATTAGAGATTCTTTAAGATATAAGAGAAATATATTATCTGAATTTCACAGCTTTATCTGTATTTTTAAACAGAAATTTCACCTTAATCTGAGCTAGTATAATACTTATAAGATATGAGTAATATATACTATCAATCTTCTTGAAGATATCTCTGTGACTACTTGAGTTAGTAAGAAGAGAAAGCTTGAGTATTATTATTATTATTATTATTCTTTCATTATACTCATATGCAAGCGGAGCTTATAATGAGTCCTTGCGTGATGTTAAATACAGGTCAAGTGTTGATTATACAGAAGGAAATACAGGTGTTGAGACTATGTTAAGATAACTAGACTGACTGTGTAACCGTGTCTGAGATCAGAACCAGATTTTTTAATAGTCTTATTATCAATTTGACTGATCTCATTACATAATTTTAACATTAAATAGTAGTTTCATACTGTCTCAGTGAGACTTACTGTCTACTCTTATCACATTTTTCAAATAAGATCATGATTTTCACTTCTCAATTTAAATTATTTTTATTACTTTAAATGACTTTAAATCTCATTTAAGTGTTATTAAAAAGCATTACTTTTTAAAAAATTAAAAATAGTTTAAAAAAAATCTTAAAATGTCTAAAAATAGTAACTTTATATCAAGAATGAAACTAAGTAGAATTAAATGAAACTACTTTCTCATTTTTTTCAAGTCATGATTTCATTTTAAGATCTGATATATAGTCACTTTACATGTTTTTTTAATAGTCAGTCTCAGCAGAATTCACATCAAGAAATGTATAGAATCAGATCAAATGAGATCAAATATGAAATTCATAATCTTAGTAACCAGTCTAAAGATAACAAGAACATAGGAAAATACAAAGAAGTGACAATTAGATACATGCAATAATAACTTCTCAGCTCAGAAACATAGAGTAATTCATTGAAGCGATTTGTACACCTCTGTATTTATTAGAAACCTGAGGTGCTTGAGTTCTGAATTTAATGTATCTCCTGCGGGTTTCGAACCCACGCGTCTTGGTTTCCCACGTCAAGGCGCTACCGGGTGGCCGCATTAACCATTCAGCCACCGGGGCGAAAGCTTGAGTATATTAATACTGTTATAACTTGAGAAAAATTCAAAGACTTTCTACTGAATCAAATTGAAGATTACTGTAACTACAGCTTTATAGTAGTAAAATAATTTCACTTATTATATTAATAAGATAATAAGAATTCTTCTGATTTTAATATAAGATTTAAAGAATATTAAGAGAAATTAACTGATAATTTAAATTAATTAAAGATACAGCTTTATCTTATGAAGCTGACTCATAAGATGTGAATAATAATATTATAGTATCAGAGTTTATTAATCAATTGTACTGAGCTTATCAACCTGACTTCTCAGATCTATTTAAATAATTAATTCTCTGAGAAAAAGATCAATAAGACCTCTTCTAAGTAATTAATAATGAGATCTAAAC